AGTCGGTTAGGCGTCCGACTTCAGCCGGGTCATGATCTCGCGGTCCGTGAGTTCGAGCCCCGCGTCGGGCTCTGGGCTGATGGCTCGGAGCCTTGAGCCTGTTTCAGATTCTGTGTCTCCCTCTCTCTCTGCCCCTCGCCCGTTCATGCTCTGTCTCTCTCTGTCCCAAAAATAAATAAACGTTGAAAAAAAAATTTTTTTAAATTTAACCATAATTATTTCACCATTTGAAGTAGTATTAAATGTGATTCAGTAACTATGGTATATGGACATTCTTGTTGAAGGAGTTGATAGAAGGTAGCAAGGTGGGGAGAGATACAGACAGAAATTTGTATCATGAATGATAAATGCATATTGATGCTTCTGAACCTACAGATATATAGGAGTTACTTTAACGTTAATTCAGACTATCAATTTCTAAAATGATTTTTTTTTTCCACTATGATTTGCAAGGATATGTTTACTACATGGTCGTGGATCGTTGTAAATGGAATTAAAAATCAGCTCTCTACATTGTTTGTCTGTTGATATTACAAATAAAGGTATAAAATCTATCCCTGTTATTTTTTTTATTTCACTTCTATTGATGGCATTCTTTGCTATAATTAAGTTATTGTTCTGTCATAATGGTGCATCGGGATTCACAATATCTTAAAGACTGGCAGTACAGTGGGAAACGTTGCTTTTTGAAAGCTCTTATCTTCCTTCCTCTATTTGAGGGTTTCAGATGGCGTGACAGAATTAAAATGTCATGTCTGTGGATTTATTCAGTCCTGTAAGCAAGGACAGTCGTGCCAGTCGCTTATAGTGAGTACCCGAGTGGGAGCTGCATTGTCTGGCCTGGGAACCCCCCAGGTGTTTGTCGTGCCACTGTGGTAGTTCATCACTGCCGTGTGTTTTTTGATTGAAGAAAGGCTACAGCATTATGTCTGCCACCAGAATCTTTTAGTAATGATTAAAAACTACTGACCTCCTTTCAGCATGTTTCATTAAAGTTTTTTTTTTTCTTATGACTCTAAAGTTGAGAGATACAACATGCTCCTGCCAAATAGAGTGCTAAAGGGGGTCATTGGTGCAAAAATTTAAATTTTTCATGGGCAAAACAAATAAAAGCAAATTTACTACAAGAACTTCTTTTATAGGCAGTCTTTTCCACTTAGAAATACATGCTTCTTCACTTGCTTGAATTTGAGCTATCACCAAATTAATGCTATTACGTTTTTATTCTCAAAGATATACCACTAATACATTATTGGCTAGGATTATTTTAAAGGCAGAATATCTCCGCTGACTTAAACTATGAGTGTTTTGCATTCTTATTTTTGAAAGACGTTTATGGTGGAGATTTGAAATGGTTGAACCTTGACATTGCTAATTGATTATTGTGCTGCAGTTGTTAGCAGTGCCCTGGCCAAAGTCTTTTTTTTTTTTTTTTTTTTTTAATCCTAAGTGGTTCAAAGCACAACTTTTAACAATGAGAGGCTGTAAATGGACCTAAACCCATTTGTTTTATTCAACTTGATGAATTACTTATTAATTAACTCCTTTAACAGTTTAGAGAATATAAATTTGTGGCTAAGATACAATAAAAAGCAAATGTCTAATTATTTAAAAGTTAATAATGTAAACAACCTCATTGTTTTTATTTTTTAAGAGTTTGATGTTAGAGCTTACATTTTAGAAAATGGTAAAGGCTCATTAAATCATATTGAAAGTCATATTTGAATTACTAAAATATTGAAATTATAAAATAAATTTATAGACATAATTTGAGTTAGCTTTATCTTTACTAGCTAGAGAGGTTTTTAATTTTTTTCTTTAACATTTATTTATTTTTGAGACAGAGAGAGACAGAGCATGAACAGGGGAGGGTCAGAGAGAGGGAGACACAGAATCTGAAACAGGCTCCAGGCTCTGAGCTGTCAGCACAGAGCCCGACGCGGGGCTCGAACTCACGGACTGCGAGATCATGACCTGAGCTGAAGTCAGCCGCTTAACCGACTGAGCCACCCAGGCGCCCCTAGAGAGGCTTTTTATAGGTGAACATGGTATTTATTGAAATTTATTTAAGTCCATCCTCCTGAGAATGGAATTCACACAATTTGCTTATTTTAGTTCAAAAAATTCTTTTTTGAAGGTATAAAAGTCAACGTTAGCTCAGATAATATCTGAATTACATCAATTTTCAAATGTATTGAGTCTGGATTGGAGCTTATCTCTATTTATAGCTTCTGGGACACATGTTTTATTTTGATTTTCTTCATGTATATTTCAAGACAGTATGATGTATGAATTGCTGTATGTTTACTTTTATTCCCTACTTTGTATATATTTAAGTTTTTGAATCTTGCATCAACTTTTAAAATATACTTGAAGAGAATACAAAATTCTCTTCATAGGCCAGTTAATAAACAAAACTCAGTTTCACAATAATTGGGGGAAGGTGTTAAAAGCTTACCATGAAATGTATCCTACATACAGAAAAATGTACACAGATGTATATGCAGTTTAAAACATAATTGAAAGAAAATTCATTTACCATTAGCACTCCTCCTCACCACCACACCCAGAGTTTTAAAAACCAGAATGTTTTTTAGTACCATAGAAGCTACCTGTTCCTTGTTTTCAAACATGGCTTCCTCATCAGAGGTAACCACTTTTTTTACTTTTATGGTAATCATTTCACTGCCTTTTCTTATAATTTTGACAGCTACCTATGTACGCTTGAACAATAGATAGCTTAGCTTTGCATAACTGGGTAGCAAGCACAAACCTATTGCCATTATTGGATGAAGGCTGCCAAAAGAAGTGGGATTGAGAGAGAGAGAGTTTGGAACTTAGTTTGACTTTGGCTTCCCAGAATTTCTAAGAGCTCTTTCTGGGGAAGTCAATGGGCAAGATCATGAATGTATTTTGAGCCACGCTTGTCAAAGTAAAAGCAACTGGCAGAGATATAGGAGAGACCAGGTGCTAGATGTCTTCCAGAAAGGTTAGAGGCTGCTCTGTATTTTCTGTGTCTGAGTTCGTCATGGCCCACCTCTTTGCTCTCAGGAATAGGTCAGAGCAGAACAACTCTGGGGGTAGTGTGTATCCTCTGCTGATCCACAGCACAGCACGGGGTGGAGAATAAGGACATCCGCAGCTCATTCCCCATGTATTCTGTTCTCAGACTTGAAGCATGGTGCAATAGCCGAGGGCATCTTGATGTTGACAATATGTCTGTCTTCCTAAGTCTCATGGCTTCCGTTTGGATTTGTTGTCTTCCACACTTGATGTATAAGCATAATTCTAAAATTCTGTCTAACTGTGCTCCTGTGAATTCTCTTGCCTCTCTTGTTTGTTTATTTATTTTGGGTGAGAGAGAGAGAGTGCAAGCGGGGTAGAATGGCAGAGAGAGAATCCCAGTCTCAGAGCCATCAACACGGAGCCTGTCATGGGGCTCCATCCTACAAACAGTAAGATAATGATGTGAGCCAAAATCACGAGTCTGCTGCTTAACCAACTGAGTCCCCCAGGCACCCCTCTCTTGCCTCTCTTATGTGTTGGCCCTGTTGTTGCCTGTGAGGTTTGTTGTCTTTCTTGTTTATGCTCTCGTTTGGTGGTGGTGTGTGTGTGTTTTTCTCCTTTTTTTTTTTTTTAGTTTATTTATTTACTTTGAGACAGAGACTGAGAGAGTGCGCACACAAGCAGGGGAGGGGTGGAGACAGAGGAAGAGAGAATCCCAAGCAGCTTCATGTTGTCAATGTGGAGCCTGATGTGGGGCTCAGTAGCACAAACCATGAGATCATGACCTGAGCTGAGGCCAAGAGTTGACGCTCAACCGACTGTGCCACTCTCCTTTCTGTATTTAAAAGGTGTTCAGTTTTTTCCAAATTTGTGAGTTGGCTGCTTAATCCATTTGTTATTCTTTTTAATTGATTTAAGTATTTAAGTCTGTGAATTGTCTTCTGAACAGTGGAAAGTATCTCGATTCTGATATGTAATATTTTTATTCTCTGGTAAGTGTGCAGTTTCAATTTCGTTTCTCTTTGATATAATGATTTTTTAAATAGCAGAATTAGGTAGCATTTTCAGGCCAGGAAGTCCAGGTCAAACAGTGGCTTCAAATATGAAAACCTATGATTAAGACTTTACTTAAAAAAAAAAAAAAATCTTCTGAAGGATAATTAACCAGCTTTCCTCTCATCGTACTTTTAATTTTTTTTTTTTTTAATGGTTAATTATTTTTGAGAGAGTGAAAGAAACAGAGCGCGAGCAGGGGAGGGGCAGAGAGAAAGGGAGACACAGAATCCAAAGCAGGCCCCAGGCTCCGATCTGTCAGCACAGAGTCCAAGGCAGGGCTCAAACCCACAAACCATGAGATCATGACCTGAGCCGAAGTCGGACACTTAACCACCTGAGCCACTCACGCGCCCCTCCTCATACTTTTAAAATGTGAATTAGAGAAGATTAAATTCATATGCTGAGTAGGGACATAATTAGCGTAAAAGATAATTTATTAGCTCAAATAAATCTTTATTCTTGGAATCTGGTTTTATTTCATTCTGAGAGTTCTCTGTGACATTGGATCTTTCCTTAAACATACACAGAGATACGGAAACATAAATGTTGCCATTTCCTAAGAGCTGCTAAAGACTTTAATACTAATAATCGTTATTGACAACTGAATTCAAATAAAATGATAACTAATCAAGATCTGAGGTAATTTTGCTGTGGAGATTATTCGATGTTCTGGACTTTGCTCATATATGTATATAAATAAAATAATATACATGAATGTCATAGTGACCAGTTTAATAGCTTCTTATATGTTAAGAGTTTCTTCAATAGATAAGAAATTTCACGTAGTCTCTTTGTTACTTTTGTCCTGATTAAAATGATACATCATTTTAGGTATGGAGTGGTGGAATGGGAAAAAGAAAGGAAAAGAGGGAAAACTTACTCCTAACCTATAAGAGTATGTTTAAGTATAGATTATTAAATTCTGATTTGTTTTATAGAGAATACAAGCTGGCATCCTAAAAGCATTTAACAACCCAACTACTAAAACTGCTGATGATGATACTAAAAAAAAGGTCAAAGGTATGTCAATTTTTTTACTGTTAAAACTTTCTCCCTGAAGAAAAATTTAAGTTTCTTTTTAGGGGAAAGAGAACTGAGCATTATGTGAAGTAATTCTATAAAGTAGTGGCCTTAAAAGAGAGTGTACTCACTCCAGTGTCTGTGAGATAGTCTAGTGGGTCATAGAAAGAAAATGTTAGAATGCATCCATGTGAACTTTAAAAACTAAAACTAATGATCAGATGTATAGATTGGCACTGATGACCTTATTTGAGGTATCCTAAGGGAGACTTGAAAGGTGGTTGAAAGTAGCAGTCTCACTTGGAAGTTCACTTTCATCATATTGTATCATTTTGCAGTTGACCTATGCTTGCATTAAGTGGATTTGTAGATATTACATAGTTTTAACTGGTCAAAATGCATAAGTGTTCCAAAGATTCCTGCAAGGAATCCATTTATTGAAGAGAATACTGACTCAAGCATACAAGTCCACTTTACTTCTAGTGTCGACTCTTCATCAGCCAAAGTATTAGCAAAACCAGTGATTATCTAACCAAAGCTAATCATTTAATTATCAGTATTTAAGTGTGGGCTTATATGTCATGTTACAAGCAATTTCTCCTAACTGTATATTCTGCCTTCACATATTAACTAATGGTATTATTAAGTCATCATTTTTAGAAGATGTTGAAAAATATTATTTGTATTTTGTTTATTCTCTATTCTATTTTTTGTAGTAGTATTTGTACATAGTGCATGTCTATAATTCATAAATATACACACATTATGATTGTACATGCCCAAACTGTGTGCAGTTGGGGTTCAAGATTTGTTTTTTAATTGAAGTATAGTTGACACACAATGTTACATTAGTTTCACGTGGAAGGTTCAAGATTTTTTAACGTGGATTTTCAAGTATGCTTTGGTTTTGTTTGTTTGTTTGAGATAGTGCCATCTAGTGCATGTTGAGAATAACTGCTCAGTTTTTCTTTCCATTTGTATAATCTTTTCCATTTTCTTTTTTAAAAAAAATTTTTTTTTAACATTTATTTATTTTTGAGACAGAGAGAGACAGAGCATGAACAGGGGAGGGGTAGAGAGAGAGGGAGACACAGAATCTGAAACAGGCTCCAGGCTCTGAGCTGTCAGCACAGAGCCCAATGCGGGGCTCGAACTCACGGACGGCGAGATCATGACGTGAGCCGAAGTCGGACGCTTAACCGACCAAGCCACCCAGGCGCCCCTCCATTTTCAATCCCCTGTACAGTTTTTTCTTTCTTTCTTTTTTAAATGGTTTTATTTATTTTTGAGAGAAAGAGAGCCCGAGCGGGGTAGGGGTAGAGAGAGGGAGACAGAAGATCTGAAGCAGGCTCTGTGCTGAGAGCAGAGAGCCTGATTGAGGGCTTAGCTCACGAACTGTGAGATCATGACCTAAGCTGAAGTCAGACACTTAACTGACGAAGCCACCCAGGTGCCCCCTTTGTACAGTTTTCTTAATGAATCATCTTAGTTTACCATAACTTCTAAATGGTTATCATATTAATAAATGTTTATTGATATATCTAGCTATAAGTTGGCTCTGTCATTCAGTGCTTCAAATAATGTTTTAAAATGATTTTAAACGTTTGTATGAAATTTGAAGTTAGACATCCAAAAAGGATAGAAGTTTGAAAGAGGAGTGAGGCTTGTTAATACATTTTTTCATCATGATTAACTATGGAGAGTTTCAAACTTCTATTAAAGTAGAGAGAATAGGGGCGCCTGGGTGGCGCAGTCGGTTAAGCGTCCGACTTCAGCCAGGTCACGATCTCGCGGTCCGTGAGTTCGAGCCCCGCGTCAGGCTCTGGGCTGATGGCTCGGAGCCTGGAGCCTGTTTCCGATTCTGTGTCTCCCTCTCTCTCTGCCCCTCCCCCGTTCATGCTCTGTCTCTCTCTGTCCCCAAAATAAATAAACGTTGAAAAAAAATAAATAAAGTAGAGAGAATAGTATGATGAAACCTCATATACCCATCACCCTCCCTCTTAAACTATATTGAATGTGTGGTATATTATGTTTTATCTGTGTTCTCCCAACCCCTGATTATTTTGAAGGAAATCATAGGCATAATTTTCTTTGATTTATTAATATTTCCCAAACGGAATAATTTTATCTTTTTTTATATATAACTGAGCAGTTTATATATATAACAGTTATTAATTGCCAAGGTTAATTCTTTACACTATGCTGTGTTTACTTGTCTACTGTATCGTTTCCATAGTTATGGTCCAGGTGTTTGTAACCCTGAATGCATAATCTTCTTTCTCATCCTCTGTCTACCTCTATGTTAGGCAGAGGCTTTAAAGGGCTTAATGGGAACAGTTGAGGTATGGTATGAACACTGGTTATTGCTTTACTTGTTTTGCCTCAAATTTAACAATAGTTTATTATTTCTTGGAGACTACTCTATGATAGTCAAATTTTTCTCTATAGAATTGTAAAGGAGAAAGACATTATAACATCATACAGTAAATATATTACTAATGTGATGCTGGTCATCTGTCTTATTCAGATGTCTTTTGAATCAACAGAAAAAAAAGCATGTTACATTGTTAGGTTGGTGGTTGACATTTTTTGCATTAAAAAGTATTATTTTTGCAGCATATGGAAGAGAAGGTGTGAAAATGAACTTCATAGATCGGATCTTTATTGGTGAATTAACTAGCACAGTCATGTGTGAAGAATGTGCAAATGTAGGTGCTTTGGAATTCACTTCAACATGGAATAGATTACAATCATAATAATTTTTATTGTTCTCTTTCACATATAATCATCAGCATTTATTTTTATTTGTGACAGATGACTACATAACAGTTTTTGAAAGTCTTTACAATATATCCTTCACTCCCAGAAAGGAACATAATTTATAATTTTTTTTAAGTGTTATTTTTCCTCTTGATAAACCTGTGAAGTTCTTTTTAGCCTGTTTGAATGTCTTGGAATGCGTTAGCTACTTGTTTGCATTACAATGAAAGAGAAACTTCTGGGAAGGGAGTAACGATGTTATATAACTGTGCATTACCCTAAACCCTAATTCTAATAGAAATAATGCAATAACGTAACAGGGAGATGTACCACATTTTATTTAAAATTTACATTTATATAACTTGTTGAAGTTTTTTTTAAAGTAAGCGCTCATATTTGAATTTAATGATCATTTTTATTTTGAATGCCATCTGTACTTTAACAACAACTTTAAACACATAAAAGTTTTTATGGGTTTTCAATTACTTGATAACAAATATTTCTGAAAGCATATGGTTTAGAGTATGTTAGGTGTAAACTTTTGTTACATTTTGATCATAAAATAGTTTTCCTGTCTCAGATAATGGGGTACTTTTCTTTTCTCTCTAGTCTTATAAAATCAGTTTTATATGTTACATCTCCTTTTAGCCTGTCATATTGAAGCACAGAATTTGTCAACATGATATTACTTACATTTCTAGTATATTCAACATAGAAGTTGATTTCTCTATCACAAACTAGAGAGTGTTTCTAAACAGAATTATCCTAAAAAATCTACAAAATGCAGTCAAGCTCTCTGGCTTTTTTCTTCCTGGCTTAATTTTTTTTCTTTTAAATGTTTGTATTTGATTTGTGTTATGGCACAATTTCACCAAAAATATGTGTATATCTTTAGTTAATCAGTTTTATTAAACACAGTTTATTTTGAAGTTACTTTAAATATTATAGGTTAGTCATATTGGCAATATTATAAAATTCAACTGAATTGCATTTATTGAAGTGTTGGGGTATCTTGTTTTGACTAACAATATGTGCTGCTATACCCAATTAAATCACAGTTTATCTCAGGGATGTTTTTTAACTTGAAATTATATTGCCTGGGAAGTTTGAGTCTTTAAAGACTTTATAAAACTACATGGTCTGTATTAGAATTCTAACCGAATGTCTCAATATGTTTTCTTTTTAAGATCTCCACAGTGAAAGATCCTTTTATTGATATTTCACTTCCTATAATAGAAGAAAGGGTAAGGAGAAAACAACTTGCTAATGAGTCTTTGGTAGAGAGCATGTATTCATTCATATATTTAGACATTTGTTGGGGCACGTGGCTGGCCGTAGGGCATGTGACCCTCGATCTTGGGGTTGTGACTTCAAGCCCCACATTGGTTGTAGAGTTTATTTAAAGATAAAAATCTTTAAAAGAAAAAAAAAAAGACATTTGTTGAGCATATTATCACATTATCTGAGAGTCATTTTTTATATACAATAATGGAGTTCACATAGTATATTTGATACTAAGGTTTGTGTATTTATGCATGAAATATGATATATAGTTCTTATTCTCAAAGAATTCAAACCAATATGTTTTATATTTTGAGAATTAATGTTAAGGAAATTATTTCAAATGAGTTAGAAACTTTAAAAAGTAGTTGATATCCAGACTTTATTTGCTAAAGAAGTTTTGTGTTATGTACATGGCATCTATATAGGTTTCAAAACCTGTACTTTTGGGAAGAATGAATAAATGTAGAAGTTTACAGGCAACAGATACTGGTCAGTACAGTGACACTGTTACTATAGAAAATGTTCAGCAACCCAGAGCCACCAAGAACCAGTCTTCATCTAAAGATAAGGTAAGATTATATGCATTTATGAGACATCTATTTTTTAAAACTTTTCCATAAGAACAGTTTCAAAAATATACAAAAGTAGACAAGATAGTATAATAAACTTCCATGTACCTATTTCCCAGATTCGTAGTTCTCAAATCATGGCTAATCATGTCTGCATATAAACCACATTCTCACCCTCTCCATCTCCAATTATTTTGAAATAATACCCATATAGTGTATACTTCAATGTATATCTCTAAAAGATGAATACTATCTTGGGGGGGCGCCTGGGTGCCTCAGTCGGGGAGGCATCTGACTCATGGTTTTGGCTCTGGTCATGATCTCTCAGTTTGTGAGTTTGAGCCCCACATTGGGTTCCATGCTGACAGTGCAGAGCGTGCTTGGGATTCTCTCTCTCCCTTTCTCTTTGCCCCTTCCCTGCTCACTCTCTCTGTATCTGTCTCAAAAATAAATAAATAAACTTAAAAAAACATGAATACTATTTTTAAAGATGTACTTGCAGTACATTATCGTATCTAAAAATATTAGTAATTTCTTAATAGTACCAACATCCAGTCATTATTTAAATGTCTGCAGTTGTCTCATAAAATACTTCATTTTGTTTTTGCTTTCTAAGGTGTGCTTTAATTTAGGATCTAAAAAAATATCTATAGATTGCAGTTGATTGCCATCTCTTAATCGCATGTCTCTGAGGTCCCTTTTAATTATAGATTTCCCCCTCCTTTTTTCCCTTGCTTTGCAATATATTTGTGGAAGAAATCGGGTCTTTTTTTTTTCTTTTTTCTTTTTTAGCAGTTTCTCACATTCCCACATTCAATAGTAATTTGTTTTGCTATTGCATTCCCATGGTTTTAACAGGTTCCTCTGTTTCCTTTATTTCCTCTCTAAGGCATTTTTATCTAAAGACCTAATTAGGCTCAAGTTTTATTGTTTATTTGATTTTTGGCAAGAAAAAATTTAACTGGTGGTGTATCCTTCCATCAAGAAGATGAACATATAGGTTGCCTGAGTGGCTCAGTTGGTTAAGCCTCCAACTTCAGCTCAGCTGTCATGATCTCACAGTTTGTGTGTTCAAGCCCTGCATCAGGCCCTGTGCTGACAGCTCAGAGCCTGGAGCCTGCTTTGGATTCTGTGTCTCCCTCTCTCCCTGCCCCTCCACTGCTCACGCTCTCTCTCTCGAAAATGAATAAACATTAAAAAAATTAAAAAATATATTTAAAAAAAAGAAGATGCACATTATGTTTGAAGTGTAATCTTTGATGTCACCAGTCACCAATCACCATTGTCTAGATCCTCTATTTTACCAGGAACATATCTGGTTGTTGAATTATCTCCTAAAAATTTATTTATTATTATATGCTTTTTATTTATTTTTGAGATAGCGTGAGCAGGGGAGGGACAGAGAGAGGGGGGTTAGAGGATCTGAAGCATGCTCCATGATGACAGTAGAGAGCCCGACATGGGGCTTAAACTCACAAACCTACAAGGTCATGACTTGAGCCAAAGTCTTGATGTTTAACTGACTGAGCCACTCAGGCTCCCCTACCTCATAAAAATATAAAGAAATCAATCTAAATTTGTGCTTCATTTTTTTAAAAAACTTTTTTTAATGCAATATGATTTGTACTAACTCGGCAAATTGATATCACATTTAGGTTTTTCTGTTAGAAGACTCTTGAAGTGGCAAGACTACAGAGAGTATATACAAAGGTTTATAATAAAAAAGCCTCCCTCACAGCCCTGTTCTACAAAAGTTCTGTTTCTTTCTCCACAGATAAGTAACTGCTATTGTGGGCTTCTTGTATAAGGATGCATTTCTAAATTTAGAACGATTTGTTATTGTATCTTTTGTCGATTGTAGTTCAGGTAGATTTAGGAAATGGATTTCAGAGGTACGAGAAAAAGTATCTGATAATTGCGGAAGGCATAAATAAGACTTACTGGCATTTATTTTCAGTAAGGTCACAAGATTCTTTTCTCTGAAAACACTGTCAACTTACAGAATCAACTAGTTCACGGCAGAAAATGTGTAAGAAAACTACCATCTGGAGAAGATAGAGTGGCCGTCATATGCCGAGAATATGAAAACCCTGGGATGAGCGGAGATTCCTCAGTGTGTGCAGGCGTCGTGAGTACTGAGGCAGCTCTGGCCGAAAGCCCTACTGATGGCAGCGAAAAAGAAGCCAGCCCTTCCGAAAGTAGTGCTGATGCTGACAGTGAGGCTTCAGAATCGGAAAGTACTTCTCAGCAGGCTGTCCTGTTGAGGTCTAGAAGTGGATGCTGTGCGCACAAAAATGGACCCCCTCCCCAGCGGCCACTCACCAAGGAGACTGGCAGCGGTGACGAGGGAGTGGCTGAAGCTATTTCTGAACTCTATTTGAGCAGCACTGTAACTGGAGATAGAGATCTTGACAGAGAAAATAAGCCACCAGATGTTCCAAATAATTTGTGTTCATCACAGGAGAAGTATGTGTTGTCTCCTAGCCCCCAAAAGGCTTTTCTTTCCCTTTCTCAGAGCTATATAACTACTTCTAAAGAATGCTCAGTTCAGTCCTGTCTCTACCAGTTTACATCTGTGGAATTACTAATGGGGAATAACAAGCTTCTATGTGAGAATTGTACTGAAAAGAAACAGAAGTACCAAAAGGAAACCATTTCTGCAGGTAAATATTTAGGTTTTTGTTTTTCTTAGTATTCATGGGTTATATGATAGTCAGTGACTATCATCTCAAATAAAGGTGGGTTATAGATCCCAAATAAAGGAAACTAAGAAACTTGTCTCCATACTTAAGTTTCTTGGAGGCAGGGATTGTCTTTTTCATAGTCGTACCTCAGCACTGAAGACTGTGACTGGACTTTTAAATAGATTTTTGTTGAAATAAATTGGACAGGAAGTACCCATCTCTGCCTTGAAAATGCAAATCCATAGAATCTCATTTCAGGGGACTGGCTCTCTGAAATCTTTCCGGAAAAAATTTCCCTAGAACAGACAGTTGTATCACTAGTGAGATTAATGTGCTTTACAAATCACACCAATCTAGTATGGAGTCCTATCATAAGATATGAATTTGATGATTTTAAGTAATTGTATGTTACAAAGCTAGCAATAGATGTGTTTAGTTGCTGAGAGAAAAGTGGAAAAAGACTTGTCAAATAATTTTTTAGTGCATCTCTAGCCATGATTAAATGGAGAGAATACTCTGATTCTTAGTGACTAGTCTGTTTCAAAATGCAGGTTTTATAATCACTCAGGGATGGTGAGGCCAACAGATCCGGAGACAGTTGCCACTGAAGAGATAGTTTGTTACGTACAGTTCTGAAGAGGAGCGAGCACACTAAGCTGTGGCAGGCAGGCCCCATGGGGAGGTAGCAGGGTGGTCAGGAGGCAGAAGGAGCGAGAGAAGACATGGACAACAGCCTTTATTGTAGTTTCCAGGGAGGGTATTGGAATCAGCAAGGTAGGATCTACAGGCTTAGAACTGATTGACTAGTTTTCAATAATTTCAGTGGGCTCTGGGGCATTGGGGCTGTCTCCACTTATGTAGTACTTGGCCCTAGTGTGATTAGGCCAGGTGGATAGTGGCCTAGAGTATCAGAGCCCAATAAAGGAGGTGGTTGGGTACGGGCTTTAGATTGCTTTGTATGAAAGGTACTCTTACATTGTTTATTATGTCTAGGAATTCTCTAGCTCTGACGGAATCCTTCCCTCTGGTGTCAGCAAGGCCCCAGGTGTCAAAGTATCAGAATAAAGACATGCTTAATACACTAATAATTAAAGAAATGTCTAGATGGGAGAAGGAAGAAGTACCAATTTACGTTAATCCACGTTAAATATGCTGTTGGCCGTATTCAAATCCTATCCCAAGTACTGTCTAACAACCTCTTACTGAAATGCCCTGTGGTTCCCATGATACATGATCTCCTTTTTCTGCAATGAGTAATGACCCCTTTTTTTTTTTTTTAACTCTAGGTGTGTTTTTGGTGGTCTTTGGCTGGAGGGCTTTGACATAAGTCACTACTAGTCCATCTGCTTCCCAGCTCCCCAAATTTTGTTGCAAGTGTCACTTCCCCTATCTTTTGTCCTTGTAAGTGTGTGCTTTAAAAAAAAAAAATCCCTTTTGTTTCAGTGGAGTTCTGGAAAGGAATATGGAGATATGCTGTAACCAGAGTCTAATTTCTTTTTTCATGTTTTCAAAATTATGGTAGGATGCTCCTTTATAAATGTTTACTATATTATATGGTACATGATGTATAAAATGGAATTTTATAAATAAATTATTATATTTTATACAGAAAAGAAAGCAGAAGGGGTTTATACTAATGCCAGGAAGCAATTGCTCATTTCTGCTATTCCAGCAAATCTAATTCTCCATCTTAAAAGATTCCATCAGGTAAAAGACCCTATAGTAGCACTGTAGTAATTTTATCATATGTTTCGCAGAGCCCTTCCACATCATGTAAATTGTTATCAAGGATTAGACAGTAATTTATTTAGTTCAAAATTTGTCATATGGGATTTACCTGCTTTTTCAGTGATAATAGTTTACAAGACTTTTCTAAATTTTTTTTTTCAACGTTTATTTATTTTTGGGACAGAGAGAGACAGAGCATGAACGGGCGAGGGGCAGAGAGAGAGGGAGACACAGAATCGGAAACAGGCTCCAGGCTCTGAGCCATCAGCCCAGAGCCCGACGCGGGGCTCGAACTCACGGACCGCGAGATCGTGACCTGGCTGAAGTCGGACGCTTAACCGACTGCGCCACCCAGGCGCCCCATGACTTTTCTAATTAAAATTGTTTAATTCATAATACTGTATTTGGCAGTTTATGTGGTAGGAAGCTAAGGGAGTGTGTGTGTGTGTGTGTGTGTGTGAGAGAGAGAGAGAGAGAGAGAGAGAGAGAGAGAGAGAGAGAGGGAGAGAATGAAAAATAGGATTTATTAAGAATCATTAGAAGCAGGGAAGTAGCCACGTACACATAGCTCTCTGAACTCTCATGATCCTAATGGTAGGGGTGAGTGGGCTTGGACTAAATGCAAAAAGGACTGCAAGGCAGATCTCACCTCTGTAGGGACTCTGTAGTGAGAGGGAGCCTAAATGTTTTAATGTGTCAGGTTTTTCTCTGTAAGTTTTAATCCAATGCCTTGTCTTGTTTTGTTTTGCATTTGATATAATGATTTTAAAGTTTCTCTGAAAGAATAAATAAGTTAAAATGCAAAACAGTTTAGGAAAAGTTAGAATGGGTAGTTTTTTTGATATCAATTTAGAAATGAAACTATGGTAATTAAAATGGTATGGTCAAAATTGTCAAATAAAACATGAGTACTATTTAAAGCTTTTTTGTTATGGTAAAGGAAGGATCTCAAATGAGTTGGGAAGCAGGTGGATTATTTCTTTTTAAGTTTATTTGTAAGTAATCTCTACACCCAGTATGGGGCTCGAACTCACGACCCGGAAATTAAGAGTCACATGCTCTTCTGACTGAGCCAGCCAGGCACCCTGGGGGGTGGATTATTCAATAACAGATTTAGGGAAAATAGCTGAAATAAAAATATAAAGCTTCCCTCTATACCATATATCAATACTATTTTCAGATAAATATTTAACTGTATAAAACAAATCATCAGAAGACCAGAAGAAAACTTAAATGAATATTAACCTGACCCCTGGGTGGACGATTTCCTAAGTATGAAACCCATGAAAAAAATCTCAAGGGAAAAGATTAGGAGCTTTGATTATGTATCTGCAACATTTCAGGTGGTCTACAGGTGGGCAGGAAGAGATTTTTCTCTACACCTCCATCTATATCCACTGAAAGATTAAATTCTTGATTTTCTACAGCCAGGATTGTAGAAACTCGGGGGAAATGAAATGTCCGTGGAGAACACAAGCAGGTGTATCATGTCTCATTGTATCAGAATGCCTTTAATGAAGAGTATCTATGTGCAGTTACTCTGTGTGAGCAAGATAGAGGCATGTCAGATCTTAGACGCTAATTTCATGATATACCACAGTTATTTTATATTTGGTATTTGCATCTCAATTTAGGAACTTACAGAAAGAATTCATGCCCTCAAAAGGAAGTATTTATAGACTAGTGACTAGTCCAAAACTGATCTATGGGTCTTGGACTATTCATTAGTCGTTTTCATAGCTATTAAAAAAACTGACTTCTAGAATTCCTCTTTTGGTTTTATTAACAAATAGTGATGTAGATGAATTAAGTTTGTTGCATTAAAAAAATTGTTCTTTTGGTCTTTTTAAGGCTGGCTTGAATCTTCGAAAAGTAAACAGACATGTCGATTTTCCACTTATTCTTGATTTGGCACCATTCTGTTCTGCTACTTGTAAGGTTAGTATGTTATTAAGATGTTTAATTGACTTGCACATAATATGCTTAAAATTATTAGGCCATTCTTTCCTCCCTTCCTCCCTTTTTATTCGTGGCCTAATGTATTAGTTTAATTGTTCCATAATTGGCTACTGAAAGCCACTTCAAGTTGGCTCCTCGTTTGACGTGACTCTGGTGGTTTCTCTCTAAATGATTATGCTGCCAACTGGAATATATTATTCACTTGTTGAATTTTTAAATTTTCATTTTAGGGATTGCTTTTAAATTTTAACTTAAATTAAAAAAAATTTTTTTAATCATTACATAAAATACATAATCCAAAGTCAGATCAATGTATAAAACAAGGTAAATTCAAACAAGGATAGCTTTTCTCCATGTTCATTCCACTTGTTTCTTCCCTCTCTTTATAGATAACCATTTAAAAATTATTTATTCTTCCGTAATTTTTAAAAATATAAGCAGATAGGTATGTATATGTGCACCTTCAGTCTTAAATAATCACAGCTTATGATATGTGTCTTTTTCTCTACCTTATTATTATTTTTTTTTAATGAGTATTCCCAAATAGTCTGGGGCCTAGCTTTAACATTTATTTATTTTTTGAGAGAGAAACAGAGACAGAGAGAGATACAGCATGAGCAGGAAAGGGGCAGAGAGAGAGAGGAAGACACATAATCTGAAGCAGGCTCCAGGCTCTGAGCTGTCAGTACAGAGCCTGATGCGGGGCTCGAACTCAGAAACTGTGAGATCATGACCTGAGCCGAAGTCAGACGCTTAACTGACCCACCCAAGTGCCCTTTTCTACCTTATTAACATATCCTGGAGATTATTTCATAGCAGTTTTTTGAGATAGTCTGCATTGCATTTTTCAAGCAACGTAGCACTCTGTTGTGTCACTGCATCATAATTTATTCAGCCGGTCCCCAATTTAATGGGGACCCATTTATTTGGGTTTATTCTAGTTTACTTTTATTTTTTTAAGTCTTTGTTTGAAAGAGAGAGCAAGGGGAGGGGCAGAAAGAGAGGAGAGAATCCCAAGCAGGCTTCACACTGTCAGTGAGCCTGAGCCCAAGGCCAGGCTCGATCTCACCAACTGTGAGATCATGACCTGAGGTGAAATCAAGAGTCCGATGCTTAACTGACTGAGCCACCCAGGAGTCCCCCAGTTTATTTTTAATCGAAGTGTAGTTGACATACAATATTACATTATTTTCAGGTATATAATTTAGTGGTTCAACTTTACAAAGTGATCACAATAAATCTAGCTACCTTCTGTCACCGTACAAAGTTGTTATCGTGTTATTAACTATATTCCCTGTACTGTGCATTATATCCTCATGTCTCCGGTTTTGTTTTGTTTTGTTTTAAAGGCAAATATCTTTTTAGAGAGCGAGTGAGCAGGGGAGAGGGGCAGAGGGAGAGAGAGAATCTTAAGCAACCTCCATGCTGAGCTAGCATGGAGCCCAACATGGGGCTTGATCCCAAAACAGTGAGATCGTGACCTGAGCTGAAATCAAGTTGGGTGCTTAACCGACTGAGCCATCCAGGTGCTCTTCCAGTTTTTTGGTATTACAAATATTCCTGCAGTTAATAGTCAAAATAATGATTAGTCAGTAACATATCTTTTTATGTTTTTCCTACTTGCTTGTGAGATAGAAACCTTTAAGAGGACTGATAAATCCAAGAGTAATGCCTTTGTGATTTCACTAGATTACAGGAAATACAACCTGCATAGAGGTTGTACCCCTTTGCGTTCCACATGCAATGTGTATGAGAGCTCTTTTCCTCACAGCCCAGCCAACAGAGAATGTTGTCAGACTTTTGCATTTTGCCAATCTAATACATGTGGAAACATATCTCTTTGTAGTTTTAACAATGCATTTTCCTTAGTTTAAGCAGGATATACGTTTGACTTAATTTTCTTTTTTATAATATTTCACTAGATATTACTAATTTCAGTTTTTTCTTTATCTAAAAGAATGTAAATGTGGGAGATAAAGTTCTCTATGGTCTATATGGCGTAGTGGAACACAGTGGCTCAATGAGAGGAGGTCACTACACGGCTTATGTGAAAGTGAGAGCACCCTCCAGGAAATTATTGGAGCATATCACTGGAAAGAAAAATGTACCTGGTATGCCATCCTAAGTTTACATTGTTCTTAAAAACAAATGAATTTTATTCTTTGTTTCATGGATTACCTCCAGTGGATTCGCTTTGTTAAAGTTAGGTGAGGAATATCTTTAACAGTACTTAGATAATCTTACAGAACTATAAATATCCTAAGACTGTACCCTTCTTCAGGGTGTTAAGTCATTGTGTGTAGTGGCATTTTATTTAACACAACACAACACCAAAAGATTTTGAAGACCTACCAGGTCCTCAGAATAGAGTTGGGGTTGAAAATTTGCAGGCTTTGCTTATGGATCAGCAAACTTTCTTTGTTTTGTTTTGTTTTGTTTTTTCTTTCTTTCTATTTCAGTGAGAATGATTCTTTTCCTTGAGCAAATAAATATCTAAAAGTTTAATATTTCACTAGATATTTAAAGTGAAGTGATACTATATTAATGCTTTGAAAGTTCATTTTGGAAGATGTTTATTTTTTTTATTTTTTATTTTATTTATTTATTTATTTTTTTTTTAATTTTTTTTTTTTCAACATTTATTTATTTTTGGGACAGAGAGAGACAGAGCATGAATGGGGGAGGGGCAGAGAGAGAGGGAGACACAGAATCGGAAACAGGCTCCAGGCTCTGAGCCATCAGCCCAGAGCCTGATGCGGGGCTCGAACTCACGGACCACGAGATCGTGACCTGGCTGAAGTCGGACGCTTAACCGACTGCGCCACCCAGGCGCCCCTTGGAAGATGTTTAACACAAGAAGAAACGTACACAATAAGATCTAGCGTTAGGTAAATACAGTTTGTGTGATGAATGTGTTGTTGTTTAGAATGTAGAGCAAAAACATACTTATTGTAAAATGATACTTCTTTTTGTTTCGTTAGATTTGAAAGAACCTGACAGTGAATCGGCAGACCAATGGGTCCATGTTAGTGACACTTACGTGCAAGTGGTTCCAGAATCAAGAGCACTTAGTGCACAAGCATACCTTCTTTTTTATGAAAGAATATTATAATTATTTGTTAATAATTAATGGTAATGATTATTTAGATCACTTTTGTTCAGATGCTGCAATGATAACATAATACGCAATGTGCCTTTGTAGTCTTTTCTGTAGGATTAGCATGTCCCTCAAATGCCCTTGGAGATTTTTACCATTTCTGGCAAATCCTTTTAAAGTAAATTAAATTTACTCAGTGCTTTCATATGTATATTCTTAAAGTAAATGTGAACACATGTTTTTAAAGAAAAATTTGTCCTGGAAAAAAACCAGAATCTGCAGTATTAGAGGAAACCCCCTTATAATGTGGCTTATTACTCTGAGAATTCAGAAATAATGCTGGCCAATCAAATTGTTCCTTAAAACAGTGTTTAGCAAATGTTAGTCACATACCATTTCATCTGTATGTACTGTTTACTGGTTATTTTTAACCTTATTATTTAGTGTTACATTTTTAAACATAGCCTTGTTTTGAGCGTATTTCACATTCTATGTGCTAGTTTTGTTTTTTCTAATAAGCATTAAAATAAATACATAACTACTGAAGAAAAATTGTTCATTCATGTAGCACTCCACTGAAAATCACCTCAGGGCTGTCTAGCCGTGTATGTATACCACTATGTGGGAAACATTGCTATAACATACACTTACACAGTAGGCATAGTGACCTCGTCTTATTTTGTGTGGTTCAACCATTTAAAGATCCCACAGTAGCTTCAGTAATAGGGGTTTACAAATAAATTCTTGATTAGCTTATTGAAAATATTGAAAGATATCAACATATTTTCAGCCTATTCATGATGGAGTTAAGGAAAATTTGCATATAATTAGCCAAGGTCAAAATGTAATTGATCATTGTAACATGCAGAATTGGTAAATAGAAGTTTTTAATCCATATGGGATCATTGGATGCTTTTGAAATATAAATTACCAAATTATATTTGTAAATGATAGAGAATTATATTGTCATTATACTTGACAGGGGAATATAATACATTTTCTAGTTCTGTAGGTCAGTAAGTATTAATCGTGGTTTTGGGTTTGAGATCACTTTTCTTTGTCTTCAACAAGCATCATTAATAAATTCAAGTGAGGTTAGCTTTTATTGTAATGGGGTATAAAGTTGGCATTTCAGATTTTAAATAAATAATAGCAAAAATGTGGTAGTTCACCCTCCACCCCAGAATACAAGTTATTAAGCTGTCAAAACTTGGCATGAAAATATTACTATTACTTATTAGACTTAAGATTTTAAAAAGTAATGGCCACTCGGGTCTGACATTACTGAATCAAAATACATAACTGCATGGTTCAAGCATCCTAATTATTAGTGCCAACAAATCATACTACAGGCAGCTACTGGCTAAGTGCCTAGTTCTAGTTCACTCTCCTCTTGGGAAGGAAGGATAGGAATAGTAGCTGTAGATTATGTGTGGAAATATTTAACCAAGCCTCTGCCCCTTCTTAACATTTAAGTATATAGAACATTATCAAGTTCACCTGTGCTGCCTTTTCATATGTAAATGAGTGGAACTGTGATTAGTGTTAAAGATGGTAATAATATACAAAACTCAGAGCTTAAAAATGTCATTGCACAAATTCTATTTTTTGGGCATTGAAATTCCAGTAGTAGTATTTTCTTGATTTTTAACTTGAAATGATGGAGAAATATAGCTTTATGAATTAATCTGCAAACTCAGGTTGTGTTCTGTAAAAATCAGTTTATACTGTCTAAATTAAACAGAGTTTTATGTTTAATCATAATCCATTAACATTGAAGTTTTCAGTACCAGAGCAGTGAGTTTTTTTGTGGAAAATATGTGTTAAATCTCTTTATTCAAGTTAGCCATACTGGTAATGACAATTACTATCCCTTCCCCCAAAAGTAAAGATACCATCATGAGGCATATGTTTTCCATTAGGTGGTCACTAGCTTCTTGTTTCATTGACAGATAGACAAGAGAAAAGGAGAGAAAGAAAGAAGGAAAGAAAGATAAAAAGGAAGAGAAAAGGATAGGAAAGAAACAAGAGCATTCTTTTTTGTTGCTTGTTGGTTTCATCCCTTACATAGCCGAGTCAGAGATGGTAAATGATAGCCGAGGGCAAGAATCAGGGAAAGTGCCTTGTCCTCTTTTCGTTAATAGGATGCCAGGAAATGCACCAGTGCTGTATTTATCAAAGAGGACACCTATTGAGCTTTATTCTGAGTACCAGTGAAGACTGACTTTTCATTGAGATACATTGTAGCTTCAGAATATTACCTGGGTACTCAGGTGCTGTAGTAGTTTTTATGCTTAACTTCACATTTAATCATTAAGTAGGTATTTTTTGAACACCTGCTATGGATCAGGCACTGTGCTGACACTATTTTAACGTTTTAAAATGGAGAGGCCTCTGTATGTTTTAGACATTATTCCAGAAGTAACATGCAAAGACGATACTTTATTTTCATTTCATGGTAAAAGCGCTAAGTCTGAAACCTATTTTTTTATGGCCTAGAGTTCATGAATATTTTTCAGGGTCTGCTGGTAACCAAATAAATTTTATTTTGATACCTAAGAATTTCCTAAAGACAGATTTGTAACAGAGAAAGTATGTTAAGTTACACATGGGCCTACATGTTTATTCTGAAGATTCTGAATGCACATCTGCAGGGTTACTGAATTGTAAAGCTACTGTAATAACAATAGTTTCTAGATGACCTCAGGACACCATACAAATAAGTGAGAAATGTTTACAGAGTCTCAAAACAACTACCATAGTGTTTGGCCAAATGAGTGTCAGATGTAAAACAGAAATTTCATTAGCTCTATTGAGAAAATGGTTTACAGGGTATGTCTAACCCCAGTTTCCCCTGGTTTTTCCTGCTTAAAATGGTAAAATTTTGATTATGTGCCAATTATGTGAATATTTTTGACATAACCAAATATATGTCTGTATTTAAGATTTTGTTATTTAATGTTTTAAAACAGATGTGAAAACCCACCTTTCTGGGTGGCAGGAAGAGTAGTAGTTGGTGTCAGTCCTAAGAGTAGTTGATTCCTGTTTTCTTGTTTTGAATGTTCCAACAAAACTTACCAAATATGACAGCTCTTAGCTCACATGTGTGATGAAGTTAGCCAGTAATTTTAAACAGTAGCTGAATAAAATTTCCTGAAGATTAAGCTGTAGAATGTATCACCTTCATCTAATTTTTATAGTACAAAATAACATTCTGCCTACTTTTTCTAAATTCATATTCATGACTCGTCTGCACGTTACCTGATCAAATAAGCCTAAACTAAATACGTTCTGTGCAATAAAATTGAGCCTTTAGATATTATCTAGTGCATTAAGAAAGACTATTTTTAGATATGAAAATATTTTGGTTCATGTAGAAATCAATTCAAATTTGTTTAAAAGATAGTTGGCTATATTTTTAATTTTGAGTAATGCTGGTTATATAGCATTCCTAGTGTTTTATCTATACTTTTTTTTGCGGTGTTTTTAGAAAATAACTATGTAACTTATTGAGCATTATTTTGATGTTACTTTATAAAAATGCATAATAAATATTAAATTCTTTATGTTTCACAATTGGTCCTGGAGTTTTTGCAGTGCACATTATCGATAATATTTTATTTATCAGCAGTGTATTTGCTAACTTAGCTATATTCAAAATATCCTTCCTACGGGACGCCTGGGTGGCTCAGTTAGTTGAGCGTCCGACTTCAGCTCAGGTCATGATCTCGCGGTCTGTGAGTTCCAGCCCCGCGTTGGACTCTGTACTGACAGCTCAGAGCCTGGAGCCTGTTTCGGATTCTGTGTCTCCCTCTCTCTCTGCCCCTCCCCCGCTCATGCTCCGTCTCTCTCTCTCTCTCTCTCTCTCTCTCTCTCTCTCTGTCAAAAATAAATAAATATTAAAATTAAAAAAATATATCCTTCCTATTTTAGAAATTATTTCAGAACAAAATCTTATTATAGGTCACTTTCACTCTAATTTCAATATTTACCAAGGGTGGGTCTTGATCCTTTCATATGTTTCTCAAAATGTTTGGATTATTTAGACAGGAAAATTTATTAGGATATATTTTGTTTGCCTATTTTGAATTTAAACATTTTTGGGTTATGAAACTCTTTGAGATTATGATGAAAGCAATAGACCATCTTTCATTTGTTCAATAATTTGATTATTTTTTGAATACCTTCTGTGTGGTACGCATTTGGAAATACAGCACTGAACACAAGAGACAGAAACCTAAGAAGTAAGGAAATAGACATTGTAAAGTTTATTTTGAGGGGGCGGGGAAGGGCAGAGAGATCCCAAGCAGGCCCTGTGCTGTCAGCACAGAGCCCAATGGGGCTCGATCCCACAACCATGAGATCTTGATCTGAGCCCAAATCAAGAGTTGGTGGCTAAACCACCGAGCCACCCAGGTACCCCAGGAAGTAAAAGAATAAAGAAAAGATATATCAAATAATCAATGATATGGAGAAAAGTAACATTACCTACAGAGTCATATGGAAGTTAAGGTCTGTGGATGAAAGATGTTCTAGGGATAAAATGTGTTATGATATTAGTCCTGATAGTCCCAAAGGGAAGCTATGAGTAGGGGGAGAAGGAAGGTTTTAATTCTGGGGCCTGTCATCATTCTTGCTAATGGCAATGTAGGGGCTAGGAAGGGAAATCTTGACAGTTATCTCAGAAAAATATATACTGAAGATTTTTGTATGTAATTTCGGAGTTTCATGGACCTCCCTGAAGCTATTTTCATACATTTTTTTAAGTTGCACTCAAGCAGAATTATCCAAAATGTTTGTGTTCCAATATGTATCAGGATAGTGTAGATTTTGCTGCAGTAACAACTCCACATCCCAATGACTTAACAGAAGAAGAGTTTATTTCTTCCTCACCCAAAGTCCTCTATGAATCTGGGCAATCTGCACAGGCAACTATTTTCCAACTGGTGATTAAAAAAAACACTTTTTTAATATTTTTGAGAGAGAGACAGAGTGTGAGCAGGGGAGGGGCAGAGAGAAAGAAGGAGACACAACAAGAAGCAGGCTCCAGGCTCCAAGCTGTCAGCCAGAGCCCAATGGAAAGCAAACTCATGAGCTGCAAGATCATGACCTGAAGTGAAGTTGGACGCTTAACCGACGGCGAGCCACCCAGACTCCCCTCTAACTGGTGGTTTTGTAATCCAGGCTTTTATCAGGTGGTTCTATCATTTTAACACCAGGTCTCTCCACTCTAGCAGGGGAAGAGAGCATTAAAATTCTTGCACCAGCCGTTAAATTCATCTTGGATGTGTCACTCACAGCCCATTGGCCAGAAGTAGTCACATGGCCCTGCCTAATTGCAAAGAAGGATGGGTAGGATAAGTAAGAAAGAGTAAGTTTCCCAAGGGCTGTCTTGTTTCACTTAGCATAATCTTTTCAGAGTTCCATTCCTTTCTAAAGCTAAGTAATAGTCTATTATATGTATATACCATAGCTTTAAATAATTTTATTATTTTTTTTTTAATTTTTTTTTTAACGTTTATTTATTTTTTTGGGACAGAGAGAGACAGAGCATGAACGGGGGAGGGGCAGAGAGAGAGGGAGACACAGAATCAGAAACAGGCTCCAGGCTCTGAGCCATCAGCCCAGAGCCCGACGCGGGGCTCGAACTCACGGACCGCGAGATCGTGACCTGGCTGAAGTCGGACGCTTAACCGACTGCGCCACCCAGGCGCCCCAATAATTTTATTCTTAAATGTTAAGATGGATGCTATATGGAACTTAAAGTGTTAAGTTAAAGATTCTTAAAGAATCTTAAAGAACTTAAAGATTCATATCTTGAATGATAGGAATACTTCCTAATTCTGTATCTTTTCCACATCTCATTTAACTTTTCCACTTAACCTTAAGGCTAACTTGATTCCACAAGTACTAATACAAAGTACTAACGTGAACATATCCTCCCTTTGAATTTTCTACTTCATATAGTGCAAACAGGGAAAATTAATTTAAAAAGTAATTTACAATGTCTGCTAATCTGTTAGTCATAAATAGCAGATTGCCAGAACTGGCAAGATGGTGGCTGCTTCAGCACTTTCTGATCAAGGTGCAGAATGACCAGACTGAAGCAGATCATATACATGACAGCTGCTCAAACAGACACTTTTATAAAAAAATTTTTAATGTTGGGGCGCCTGGGTGGCGCAGTCGGTTAAGCGTCCGACTTCAGCCAGGTCACGATCTCGCGGTCCGTGAGTTCGAGCCCCGCGTCGGGCTCTGGGCTGATGGCTCAGAGCCTGGAGCTGGCTTCCGATTCTGTGTCTCCCTCTCTCTCTCTGCCCCTCCCCCGTTCATACTCTGTCTCTCTCTGTCCCCAAAATAAATAAACGTTGAAAAAAAATTTTTTTAATGTTTATTTTTGAGAGGGAGACACAGAGCATGAGCAGGGGATGGGCAGAGAGAGGGAGACACAGAATCTGAAGAAGACTCCAGGCTCTGAATTCTCAGCACTGATTCTGACACTGTGCTCCAACTCACAAACGGTACCTTGAGATCATGACCTGAGCTGTCGTCAGATGCTCAACCGACTGAACCACCCAAGCGCCCCTCAGACAGACACTTTAACCACAAAAATACATTCCGAGAAAGTTTGGTGTTGGAATACATATATATATATGTGTGTTATCTCCTTCAGGTCATAACATTACAGGGAAATCCCAAATAGTGGTGAGGGAAAGGGAAATGGGACTATGAAACTCCTTTCCTGGTTTGGCCAAAAGTGATTGCCGAGAATGTCTTAAGTTGGCACAAGGAAAAAAATATGAGATATCTAATAATTATCTTTATTTGGCAAAATTTCCAAAATTTTGGAAATTTCCAAAATATTTGGCAATCATTTCCAAAATGATTGACCTATATTGGGGTTGTTCAAAATATTCGCTCATTTGACAAATGCAAGAATTCTTGTATGATAAGCAGTATGCTGACTGGCTGATTAGCAGAGATGGGGGTGGGAGGAACCATACCAGAAAATTGCTTCAACTTTTAACTAGAGAAATAGATCACAGGAAGTTAAGAACATATGAAACTTTAAGTAGGGCAATAAGGTTTCAGAGAGAAGTTTCTCTGATTAGAACGTTTCTCAAAGAAACAAACTTGAGTATCAGGCCCTATGCAAAAAATCTGGGTAATAAAATCAGAGCAAAAGCAGTGATAACCACTGGTAACATGTAGTATCATGTCTTTTTTTCTTAAGAGATTTAAAAAATCCGTAGTGTGTGTAGTCTTTTTTGTGCTAAGTGGAAATTGGGGAAAAGGGCTAAAAGAATGGAGCTTTTCTTTTGCTTCCTGTAGTATCTTCATGCACTCACATCATGGTGTTGCCAAGTAATTATTTGTAAGCGTTTCTTCCAAGATAGAATTTTATTTCAAAGGCCACGTGGATTCGAGGACCAGCATATCTTTAGCTATTGAGGACTTCCTTCTGCTGATCCAGGAGTATCTAGGTTTCAAGTGTTCTATTAAGGAAGACTGAGTTTCATACAAATAGTATGTATATTTTACATCTATATTTATCTTCTTTACCCATCTATATGTACATAATTTTATTTCTCTTGCAATTTGCTTTTTTTTTTTGCTTGCACAATTCCCTATGAAACAACTTGGTTCACTCTTGAGTCCAGCAAAAGTTTCTAGTTACTCTCTAGAAAGGCACTTTCCAAGATTTAGTTGAGAAGTAAATACTGTATCTTCGTAATACTTTCGTTTTCCTTGTGATTTGTAGCTCCTAGCCTGGAAATTGAAACTTTTGATACTTTAACGTCGTTCGTATTAAAACATCGTGCAAAGTATTCTATTCGAGGAAATGCACTGCAGAAATCCTTACGGGAGGCCATCTTGTAGTCCAGAGAAATGACTAACAGGACAGAAACGGATAGCCCCACTTTTCCCTAAGGGTCACGGGTAAAGAAGGAAAATATCGGGACTAGCTGGGAGACGTATAGCTCAGCCAGTGTCGCCAGAAGGGGGCGCGAAGTTTTGAGGTTAACAAAGACCAGCCGCCGCGGGTTCAGTTAAGGTCTCTGCAGTCGCTACCATCCAGACTGGGCACTTTACTAACGGCCGGTCTGTCCGAAGCGGAACCCTCAGAGACGTTCTGTAAATACCGAAGTCTGGAGAACTCCAGAACTTC